AAATTCTAGCATGATAATTATTTTTCGGGCATTCGGTGACACCATTAGGCGATATAACTTTATTAATTTTAAATAGCAAGTTACATGAAATTTTGAAACTGAAGCTGCTGGATTTTTTTCAGCTTCGCGGTTGCTAGTAAGTTGCAGCCTATGATGTGTATGTGCAGATACATGTTAAGTAACCTTAACTTGTATACCTAGTGTACTTGTATACCTATATCACGTTATTGTGATTTGTGTGTGTGTATTGTATACCAATTCTCCGTAAGTAAGGGCGCATGCACCCGAACACAGTAGTACGTACATAAAGTATACAAGGTTAGAGAATTCATCCCAGAATTATAAATGGTGCACTTAACAATAATAACGAAGGATACATATCGCTTATGCACAAGTAACCCTAAATAATTAACATTACTGATTACCTATAATTACCCACTTGTAAATGATGAGGCAAGCAACATGGATACAGAAACATTGAGAGAGTATGTATGATGAATGTGTATACATGCGTATAAAGATCCAAATTATAGGAAGTGGTGACAAACATATATGAATTGAAACATAAAATAAAGTTGTTCCGGATTATAGGGGTGAGGGAGGGGGGACGTATCGCTCCCCCCAAACGCCAGAAACTCTTTCAATGTTTATACATGTAGCTTGTCTCATCATTTACACATGTAAAGTAATGTTAGACACATATGTGAGTAATTAGTAGTTAATTATTTAGGATTACTTGTGCATAGGCAATTCGTTATTATTGTTAAGTGCAATTATATAATGCTCTTTCTCTCTGGGATTAGTAATGGAACGCGTTATATCATGTATATTCTGTTCAAGTTCACTCCCACTCATGCACTGCCCCATAACTTTCCTCCCCCCATCCCCCAGAGCCCCTCATTTACCCTCCCTCCTCTCCCACCTCCCTCTCTCCCATCACCCTCCCCCCCTCTCCCACGTCAAGGCGCTCAGTTCAGCAAAGATTATTGTTGACATTCTTGGATAAAGGTCTGAATCTCTTGATGTGCTCAAGGTAACCAAGGTGAACACACTATCTCTACATCCCAGCTCTATACATCTGTTCTCCACCCCTAATATTTACACACCTGTTATTCATCCTGCTTTACACACCTGTTCTACACCCATACTTTATACATTTATATACCCTGCTATATACATCTATTCTACACCCCTGCTATACTCTCTTGTTTGACACCCCTGCTATATATATATATATATATATATATATATATATATATATATATATATATATATCTGTTCTGTCACCAGCTATATAGATTTGTGCAATACCCTGTTTTATTCTACATTTACTTTATATACCGTCTCAATGCATCTGCTTTACTCATCTGCTCTGCACACATGTTCATATTATCAATTCTTTACACCTGGTCTATTCCTGCTTCATATACCTGGACTAATCACCTGGTATATATATTTGTTAAATACATTTTGAACATACTACTCTCCACACCTGCTTTACATATGTGTTCTTCGCCGTCTTAAACATTCTACACACTTCTTTTGCATACCTGTTCTATACCTTCTTTTTATTTTTTTTATTTATATATACAAGAGTTCTTGCCATCTTGTAAAGCCACTAGCAGGCATAGCGTTTGGGCAGGTGCTCAATCCTAATTTCCCTCGGAATACGACCTACCAAAATCGTTTAAATTAACAACCAGGTATCCATTCACTGCTGGGTGAACAGAGGCTACAGTTAAGGATTGGCGCCTAGTCAATCCTCCCCGGCCAGGATACGAACTCAGGCCAAAGCCAAAATAACATTAATAAATATGTAATAAATATAAATTATTTCACATAAATAAATGTGTAATAAATATAAATTATTTCACATAAGTAAAATATAAGATATAACCTTCTTCTCGATGTATATAAACTAGATCATATATTATTTCAAGGCTAAAGTATACTTTCTGCTGTGTCAGTACAGTAAACAGTTGTACAGTCTTAATACCTTCCAGAGTAGAGAAGCGTTAAGCTAACACTACGAAACTATTTGTCCCATCAACGGCCGTTATCGGTAATCATCACGATATTAAGTATATGTTAAAAAACTTGCAGCATTAATTATACAAGAGAGAGAACTAACAAGCGAGTCGGGTTTTTAAATTTTCGCGGGCAAGTGGACCAAGGGAAGATGTAAGAAAATAATAAATTGCTGACACTGTCAGCTGGAGATCCTGGCTGGATGGCCTTGCGAGTAGCCTAGCTAGGTGAGTGGCCTCCATGGCTGGCTCAGTTGACGAAGGCACGCCTCGGTTATTGGTCCTCCAGCTCCTACCTGCTAATATTCGACCGCACCTCCCGGAGACCTCGGCCCCCACAGTCTCCAACAACTTCATTGTCAACAGTTTCCCCTTCATCATACCGACCAACACCAGAATCACTAACATCACTATCAGGACGACCATCAACGACAAACCAAGATGAAAATCATGGCAGCGCTGGTTATGGCATGGCTCTTCAGTACGGCGTCAGCCGCCCCTGCACAGAAGTGCTCCACTGTCACCTACACTCTCTCCTTCACCTGCACTATTGTAAGTAATGATTAATACTTACTGCGGACCCGTCTGTAGCTAGATCTCTAATACCCATCACATTACCACAAACCGGAGAAATGACCCAGTACAGACCTTTCATTTCTGTCCAGGATGCCAGCCCACGCTTCCAGTACACCTCAGTTATGTCCAGGATGCCAGCCCACACTTCCAGTACACCTCAGTTATGTCCAGGATGCCAGCCCACACTTCCAGTACACCTCAGTTATGTCCAGGATGCCAGCCCACACTTCCAGTACACCTCAGTTATGTCCAGGATGCCAGCCCACACTTCCAGTACACCTCAGTTATGTCCAGGATGCCAGCCCACACTTCCAGTACACCTCAGTTATGTCCAGGATGCCAGCCCACACTTCCAGTACACCTCAGTTATGTCCAGGATGCCAGCCCACACTTCCAGTACACCTCAGTTATGTCCAGGATGCCAGCCCACACTTCCAGTACACCTCAGTTATGTCCAGGATGCCAGCCCACACTTCCAGTACACATCAGGTATAATAATAATAATAATAATAATAATTACCAAGAAGATTCAGTGGGTTGGTGATAATTAAGACGTATTTTAACATTCATGCAAAGCCGCTAACACGCATAGCGTTTCGGGTAGGCCCTTAATCTAACATATCAGGCAAGATGAAATGGTACATTGTAGCAAGGTTGTATTGTATCAACAAATAACTACAATGTAAGTTACCAGAGATGATTACACTGGTAAGGATATATGTCTTAAGTTCTAATATTGGGGAAGTTGGTAGTACAAAATACAGTGTGAGTTTGAAGCACAATGTAGGAAACTATGAGGATGAAAATAGGTACTTTTTGGTTTTACTTTTGAACAGGGGATGGGTTGTACCATTTGTAATTCATCAGGGAGTGAGTTCCAAAGACTGGGGACCTTTCAGTTATGTCCAGGATAACATCCCACACTTCCAGTGCACATCAAATCAAATCAAATGTTTATTCAGGTAAAAGTACATACATAGATGAGTTACAAACATAATGTTGGATTTATAGGTAAAGTATATACAATACTAAAGCCTAATATTACTTATTAAAATACTAATATTAAAATACTAAATACTAACACATACAAATACTAATACGCACAGCGTTTCGGACAAAAACATCAGTTATGTCCAGGATGCGAGTACACAATTCCAGCAGCAACACAAATTCTGTTCAGGTTTTGCAGACGACGTAATGGTTGTGAGATAGTGACTGCTGGGGTGACAGTGGTTCATTGTTATTGTAGTGGCTCTGCTGTTAGTACTTTCAATGGCCGTCTGGTTGTTATGATTGCATGGCGTTGGTGGTAGTTATGGTCTTGGTGGTGGTTTTGTGGGAAATATGGTGATCGTTAGATGGCGTTGATGGTCGTTTAGGGGTGGTAATCGAGGTTGTGTAGCCGGGGTGTTAACTGCATTTCTCATACGGTTTAATAATTAAGTTTACACGGTTTACATGGCTTATACGGTTTGTATACTTATAGTTAACTACACATTTCCACAAACCCATAAGCACCATCCCGCAAGTAGCCTAATATCCTAATTTACACAAACCCACAAGCACACTCGTTTCACAATTCCATAAACAATATCGAGCACCCCCCCCCCCTCCAACCTCCTTCCCCCGCTTCCCACCTGCCTGAAAATTAAAAAAAAAGTTTGTTCGTTTACTTTATTTGTTTAAACTAAAGCTAGTGTTCATTGGGAACTGTGGTAAACTTCGTAATGAGCTTTTGTAGGGTAAGAGCTGTTAACCTGCATCAGCTCATCTGAAGCCTGCATAGAAACTCCTCTCTGGTGAGCTATTTTATTTATTAACCATGATAAACAGGGGGGGGGGGTAGAAATAGCCTAAGCTACTCTATCCCTTTGAGATGTATTTATTGCTTATCTCAATAAACATACTTGAACTTGAACTTGAACCATGATAAATAACTACAGTGTGATGCTAAGTAAATATACAATAGGGAACAGGATTAATCAGGAGCCAACTGTGTGATAAAATCTTCATATGGGGGTCTCTCTCTCTCTCTCTCTCTCTCTCTCTCTCTCTCTCTCTCTCTCTCTCTCTCTCTCTCTCTCTCTCTCTCTCTCTCTCTCTCTCTCTCTCTCTCTCTCTCTCTCTCTCTCTCTCTCTCTCTCTCTCTCTCTCTCTCTCTCTCTCTCTCTCTCTCTCTCTCTCTCTCTCTCTCTCTCTCTCTCTCTCTCTCTCTCTCTCTCTCTCTCTCTCTCTCTCTCTCTCTCTCTCTCTCTCTCTCTATATATATATATATATATATATATATATATATATATATATATATATATATATATATATATATATATGCTCAGAACCTTCCCCTCCATATCATAGTTACTTGTGCGGCCATATAAGACATATTCCTTCTCACTGCAGACTGTTCACCACCTGGGTTGGCTGCCACGTATCCCGGAGCTGGTTAAGATGAGCGAGGAGCAGCTTCAGGGATACCTGTGTCCTTGTCCACCTTCCCACATAACTACTGGCTGCCCCTCGCAAGTCTTTGAGGTCGCTCGCAAGTTCTCCCATCTCAATATGTGTCCTTTAAGCCCTCTGATCTTTCCGTAGTGGTTATATTGGACTCTACATGTATCATTTCAGTATATTCTTGTAATTGGAGATATATAATTTCTTTGTCTCTTATATACATAAGAGAGAGATTGTTTCTGAAGCATATATGTTAATCAGTGCTTCTGGAGCATATATGTTCATCAGTGTGCAGCAAAAGTTCAGTGAGAGGTTGGTAAACCCCACAGACACTCCTCAGTTCACAACCCCACAAACACGCTCAATACACAACCCCACAAACACGCTCAATACACAACCCCACAAACACGCTCAATACACAACCCCACAAACACGCTCAATACACAACCCCACAAACACGCTCAATACACAACCCCACAAACACGCTCAATACACAACCCCACAAACACGCTCAATACACAAACCCACAAACACGCTCAATACACAACCCCACAAACACGCTCAATACACAAACCCACATACACCATCAGTACACAAACCCTCAAGCACTTTCAGTACACAAACCGGTAAACACAGTACATAAACCCACAACACAGTACACAAACCCAGAAACTCTGGAGGAGGAAGCCATTGGATTCTATTTTACATAAAGTGTGTACTGGTATATTACTGTATTCCTTTGAATAGTAAATGTAACGCTCATTCAAGTGTTTCATTTTGCAACAAAATCAAATTACACAATGTTTACTATACTATTATTGTGTTTGTGTAACGTATGTTTGATCTTGTGGTGAGAATGTGTAGTGTGTGTGTGTGTGTGTGTGTGTGTGTGTGTGTGTGTGTGTGTGCAAGAATAATCACAAAAACTCTTAATTTTATTATGCTTTAGGAGAAAAAATATGATTTAGGAAAAATAAAACAAAAATAATCGAGCGCTTCAGTGATTAAACATATTATCTAGAAATACTGAAGACAGATAAGACATTGGTATGAACAGAAACATTAGGTGAGAGGTAACGTGCCCAACCATTTTTGACCCAGAGCTCCAACCCAGGATTCCAGATTGTGAGTCGAGAACGAACTTATTTAACTGTGCTACTAAGACCCTCTGTAAAATTCTGCAACCTTTCACACTACCGCCCACAGGATGGGTTCGGGGTGAGGGGAATAAACAAGTCCCCCACTCAGTGAACGTTTTCTTCCAACCGCAGAAATGAACTAAACTAAACATGTGGGGGTGTAGTTGGAGCCAAGCTGGTGGTGGGTATTATAGTGTGGGGGCGGGACGATGGTGTGGGAGATGCTGGAGGTGGTGAGGGGGGGTCTCCATCACCTGGCGTTATCAACATGGTTGCTGGGCCATGTAAATATTACCTTTGTTTACAATAACAACGTCACGTGGTGCTGCGCAGGTTTAGCAAGTACTGCTGGTATATATTATGTGCAGGCGCGCCTGTGTGTGTCTGTGTGCGGGTGTACTTGTGTATATGTGAATGCCTGTGTGAATGTGCACTTCAGTCCGTGCTTTCCTGTGCATGCTGACCGAATTGTGTGCATGCATCAGCACACATCGACTCCTGTGCTCCCCTCTTACTCCTTTCGTCGCTAAACGCCTTATGTTCCCACCTTCGGCGTCGTTGAACACCTCTTCCGCCTTCATCAGATTGATGAAGATTAAGCCACCCAAAAGGTGGTACGGGCATGAATAGCCCGTAAGGCCTTCATCACATCTACTTGCAACTATGTATGGAGTTATTCTCAAGCACCTAACCTTGTTATTCTCACTTATTCAATTCAAAGGCAGCGCCACTCCGCTGTGTGAGTGCGCGCGCTCTCCTATGTTTCCGAGTTCGCTCACTTACAGTTGTGTTTGTGAGTGCTTGCACTCATAATTGTGGGAATGCCATGCAGCTATTGAGCCCCGTTATAAGAGCGTTGTCTTACCTACGACATTTGCAGCTCTGAATGGAGTAATTCACAACCTCCACCACAAGCATATTTTCCTTGCTCATTGCCAGTAGACCTACTTCCATTTTCACCGGGTAACTTCCCCGCCCACTAGGGAAACTTCCCCGGCCCCCAGGGTAATTTCTCCGCCCTCTAGGGTAACTTTCTCACGCGTTGTCTTCCCCACTCCCGTTGTCCACTGACAGTGGTGCCACGTCCCCCGTTGTCCACCAACAGTGGTGTCACGTCTCTCCTGTTGTCCAACCACAGTGGTGCACCTCAATCCCGTTCTGGTGATGCACCAATCTCAGTAGCTTCTGTTGTCGTTATTCCTGTCGATTAGTTCAGTGTTGCTTGTTAAGATTTATCTGGTTATGGTCTGGTTGTGTGAGGATCGAGATTTTTAATTATATGTTCCTTGATGGAGCCCTGTTGCTTGTGTATTGTTACTCGCTTAGAGAGAGAGACGTTGTTGTCTATATACTGAGAGCTTTAGGGCTGACAGTCCTCAAGTGGGCATGTGAAGGCCTAGACGACGTTGGTCTCTTTTAAGGCGTTCTGTTTGATGTCTGGAGAGTTCTTCATAAGCAGGTTGGCTGTTTTCTTGTTTTTGTAGTAAGTTGTTAGTTGTATCTTCTGTTTTGTGTCTGTGGGGATAACATTCCTATCAATAATATCTTTCAGGACACTTTCCTCCGTTTTATGAGTAATATATATATATATATATATATAATATATATATAAACTAATTATATGATGATGCATACGTTCTTTTCCTTTAGTTAGCCTTAAAATAAAATAAAAGAAATAGACAAATGTTATTAATAACTTAGATTTTTTTCAAAACAGCACATGTATATATGTAATTTTTTACTTAATGTTAAGAAAAAGCTCTTATACAATGTAATTAAATATTTAAATCTAAAAATGACGGTGTTACATAAATAAATTTTATTTGAAATATTTATAAATATTACATAATGAACCGTAATTTTTCATTTTAATTTTATCATTTTCAATGCCACTTACTTGACCTTTAATCATTGCATATCTCAGGATACAATACTTAACAGAGTGTTGTAAAGTTTTTGGATTGTCTCTCTCTATTTGAGAGGCAACAATGGGATTAAAAGTTTAATCTACATTTAATCAACTATAAATTCAAAAAAATATTAACATTATATATATTAAATAATCCTAGGCACTTAGCAAAATATAAGCGGACCTAATTTAATAGGCAACACAAATATATTGTCATATCTAGAAGGAATACGGGACATTATGTAAATATCAAGAGATTTATGTGGTAATATTACCAGTATTATAGGTCTCGCATATTAGCCTGTTCAATAGGAAATTTATTTATGTATTTATATATATACAAGAAGGTACATTGGGTTTATGAGAGTACATAGCATTGATGTTTTTGCATTCTTGTAAAGCCACTAACACACATAGGGTTTTGGGCAGGTCTTTAATCCACCAGATAATTTTAAGTAGGTAATTTGTAGCAAAATTGAGAAATGTTAACAGGTACATAGTAAGAAAATTTGACAAACATTAGTAGGTACATTTGAAGTAAAATTTGAGGGTTATCAACAGGTACATTGTAGCATAATTTGAGGACTAATAAGAGGTATAATGTAGTAAAATATGAGTACAATATAACAACCATGATATAAGATGATAGCAATGATTACAATGGTAAAGTTGTTTGGTTTAGGTACATATAATGGGGAATTGGGTAGCACGAGATACAGTGTGAGGTTTAAATCACTAGGTAGGAAACTATGAGGATGAAATTAGGTACTTTTTGGTTTTATTTTTGAATAAGGTAAAAATTGGACAACTTTTCTTTTCGTTAGGGAGTGACTTCCATAGACTGTGTCTCTTTATTTGCATAGTGTTTACACAGATTAAGTTTATTTACATTGATTAAGAAAATTACAAGGTTGCACAGTCAGTTGATTAATGCGTGTCTGAGCAGGGAAATTAACCATTTCCCCTGTGCTCTGATTTCCAACATTATGTGATACAAATACGGCATACATAGACGCGATAAAGCATCTAAATTATTGGGATTGTCTCAAAGCGCTCCAAATGTACTCACTAGGTGCACTAGACAGGAGACGAGAGAGATATCAAATAATATATACGTGGAAAATACTGGAAGGCCACGTCCCAAATCTGCACAGTAAAATAACAACATACTGGAGTGAACGATATGGAAGCAAATGCAGAATAGAACCAGTGAAGAGCAGGGGTGCCATAGGCACAATCAGAGAACACTATTAACATCAGAGGTCCACAGTTGTTCAACATCCTCCCAGCGAATATAAGAAATATTGCCGGAACAACCGTTATGGACACGTTGTACTGAACAGGGTGAGAAAAATTTGAGTTACCTCTTCCATGAAAGGTTTTATTATATGTATAATGCTTTCAAGTCTCATTTATTATGAGACTTTCTAAAAAGTATTTATCATTTTACAAGAAAAATAGTTAAATTTTAGAATAATTCTTCGGACTAACTGCATTTGATTCACAAAAACGTATTTTCCTGAAATTTATATGTAAAGTTTTACTTTATATTTAATATTTTAATTATTTTTTCTTATTTAAATGTATAATTTATAATTGCCAAAATATATTGTTTATATATTTTTATTTAATACTTATTCAAAAATAATATATCAATAGCTGTCTTCATATAGATATGAACCATACCGAGCTCGTTTTCTAATTTTTGAGCTCAATAATAATAATAATAATAAAAGAAGAAATCCAAATCCAATAGATCAATTGCTTAAATAGACGAGGGTAGAAATAACCTGATGATGGTTTGAACCTATGAGATGAGTGTTCCCAGGCCCGCTCTAGTCAACTGTACCGCGACATGGTAAAAAGAATTGTAACATTGTAGAAGTGATTGTAACCTAACCACCGCTGCCCACTGGATGGGGAATGGTTGGGGGGGGGGGAGCAGGATAACCATATAGATTGTGAAACTAGTTGTCCACATATGTCAGTTGCATAAATAGACAAAGGTAGAAATAATCTAAGCTACTCCATTCTTTTGAGATGTATTTCAGTATCTTAATAAACTTACTTGATCTTGAATTGAACCTGTCTTGGTCGCCTGAAGATACCATAGTGCAGGTATTATGTAGAATGCTTGTGGGAATATATATATATATATACTGAATGAATATATATATATATATATATATATATATATATATATATATATATATATATATATATATATATATATATATATATATATATATATATATAGTATGAACTCTGTTGTCCTGATTGGGGTGTGCGAATAACTTGAGCCGGTGGCTGAGCGGACAGAACACTGGACGCGTGATCCTGTGGTCCCAGGTTCGATCCCGGGCGCCGGTGAGAAACAATGGGCAGAGTTTCTTTCACCCTGATGCTTCTGTTACCTAGCAGTAAATAGGTACCTGGGAGTTAGTCAGTTGTCACGGGCTGCTTCCTGGGGGGGTGGAGGCCTGGTCGAAGACGGGCCGCGGGGACACTAAGCTCCGAAATCATCTCAAGTTATACCTTTATCATCTCAAGATATACCTTTAATTTAACCTTATCCCTATATAGTTAAATATCCTAATTTGAATTATATTAATAATAGTCTCAACGCTTTTGAGACTTTACAAAAAATAAATTAACAGATTTAATAAGAATAATAACCTATACGATCACTTCTTCGGACTAATTACTTTTGACTCAGGTAAAAGTATTTTTCTGAAGTTTATATGTAAAAATTTTCTTAATCTTTAATAAGT